TAAAGAGCATCCCTCAGTAACTATCAAAGCAAAAAATGCCAATAACCTTTGACTCAACAACTCTAGTTCTAGGAGTTATTACACCTGTATCCATTCAAAATGACAAGCTATAAAGATATTTAACATTGTTCAGAATAACAAAATATTGTTAAACAACTTAATCACCCACAGGTAGAGGACTGGTAAATAAATAATGCTATCTCATACAATGAAATAGCCCATAGCAGTTAAAAAAAAGTGAGGCAGCTCTATATATACCAGCTAAGATATATAAACTTAAAAAAGCAAGGTCCAAAAAGTATGCATTTACCTAATAAAAAGGGAGAGTATTTGCATACATGCTTGTGAATGCATCTACTATCTCAGGAAGTATATATGAGACACCAGTGTATCAGTAATTGCCTTTTTGGAGGGAATTACCTGCCTGAGATAGCTGAAGAAGTTTTACTTTCACTGTATCACTTTTTTAACCTACTTGAGTTTTATACTAAAACAGACATCCATAACTATTCAAAAATAATTTAAAATACTAAAAAAAAGTCTAATTTAAGGCTGGATTTCTCAAACGTTTTTGTGAATACCTCTTGTTTCCCTCACGTTTTGCACGCTGAACATTTCTATAAAGTCAGAGTGAATATTAGGAATATTATTGAAAGAATACATTCATTCAAGCAGAACATCACCCTAATATACAATTTTTTTTTTTGCAAATTGAAGAATTCTTTTATATATTATCGCACCTAGAGTTATTGGTTTACTAAGTGTGTTTTTCATATTTCCAATTTTGTTTAAACTAATATACAATTTTAATGTTGTCCGTGTAGACTTTCTTAAAAAGAATGTTTATTAATATGCAATTTCTCACTTTAACTTCTAGTCTTCAAATCAGTCTTATCAAAAAGAAAGTCAAAAATAATTCTTTTCATACTTTACTTCTACTACGCGAAGATCTTAAAAAGGAAAGGAACGATGAGAATGGGGACAGAACCCCGGAGCATTAAGAGCCTAGAGAGGATTTAAAAAAAAAAATTGCACAAAGGATAAAAGAAGGAAGTTATGGGAAATGTATTTTCTCCATAAAACATTTTGTAAGGAAAATTTCCAAACTCTCTATTTACGAATTTTTTTTTTTTTTTTCAGTTTTCTACAGTAAGATTGTTTTTTCCAGTTTGCGTCCTCACCCCACCACCACTTGCCACCTCCTCCACGCATTTAAGAGAGAAACGGAGAAATGAGGAAGTTAGCCCGGAGAGTGGGAGGAAACCGCCGCCAGAACCAGCAGCTGAAAAGTACGTGGCCAGAGAAAAGCCAACAGGACTGGGAGCGGATGAGAGGAGTGACGAGAGGGGAGAAAGCATAACAAGAAGGAAACACAGACCCGCAGGCTCCCGCTCCGCCACCGGCTAGCTCGCGGCGGCCGAGGTCACTAGGAGCGCGCAGCCCCCTAGGCTCCGCCCCACGGCCCGCACGCTCCGGGGGCGGGGCTTAGCGGTAAAGCGCAGACACCTGTTGTAGGACCGCGGGTGAACTGATGAAAGCTTTCAATTGTTCCACAGAAGTTTGAGCGGTTTTCTAGAAAGAAAAGGAAGGGAAACGCAGCAGTATTTACAATTGTTGCGCAACTTAAAGACCAAGTATATATCATTGAGATTATAATAGAACATGCGCGGCAATAATTCAAAGTAACGAAAGACTAACTGGGTATGTAAGCAAAAAGTGTTAAATGTATTACACGAGCTGTAAATAATATTATCCTAGCTGTAAATTATCCTCTACTACTGGGAGGTCTTAACATGGCGGTTCTAACATTGGAACCAGACTGAGTTCCAATCCAAATTCAGGCACTTTTCAACTGTTATCAGGAAGTTACTGTAAAAAAAAAGGGTTTAAAAATACCAACTACCTTACACGGTTTTGTGAGGATTAAATGAGTTAATGTACATGGGGCAGAGTACACTCTCAAAAAAGATTGTGTGTATGTGTGTGTTAGTAGCCCAGTCGTGTTCAACTCTTTGCGACCTAAGTATCTCACAGGCTCCTCTGTCCATGGAATTCTCCAGCCAAGAACCACCGGAGTGGGTAGCCATTCCTTCTCCAGGGGAGCTTATGCTTTAAAAAACTTGCTTTGGGGAAAACAACTTTTGTGTTTGTTTTACCAGATGATTATTTTTGTTTTATAAAAATCACTTTTTGTGGGAGAGGGAAATAAGTGCTGTTCAATAGGTGTAGAGTTTCAGTCATGCAAGATGAAATAGTTCTAGAGATTTACTGTGCACATAGTTAGCGATACTGTGTTTAACACCTTAAAGATTGAGTAGATTTCATGTTATGTGTTTTTTACTACAATAATTATAACAATAAAAAGACAAGCTTAAAAAGAGACATTGAATTGCCAGGTCATCTTCTTGGTTGGGAAAATATAATTATTATTAAGAGTTTTTTAAAAAATCACCTTTTATGTCATTTAATATCAGACAATCTTAAAATTTTGATCCTAGCTTAAATTTCCAACTTTGTATTCTTCATGTTTTTCTCACAGTGCTCAATGTTAGTTTATTGCATAAATTAGTATTAGTGCAATCAATTGACTCTCAAAGGTTTCCCTTATTGCAGAAATAAATCTAACATAACATGAAAGAGTGACTAGGTAATGGTTACAAACATACTAAGGATTTTTCTCTCCCTTTTCTCATTCACTGTACTCAATTACAGTAATAGATATTTTTTATGCACACACATTCTGTAAATTAATTCCTTCATCAGATACTTATTGAGTGCTCACTGTGTTCCAGATACTATAATGGAGCCTGAAGTCAAACTATAAAACACTATGATAGACACTGAAGGAAGAAGCATGAAGTAACTACAAAGGGAAGCACCAACCTTGGGCTAAGTGAGTAGAAATCAGAAGGGAAGTTTTAAAAAGGGAAAACACTAGAAGGGATACTTTAAAGATAAGTTAAATCATAGCAATTTTGTTTCTTATAGATTAAAATTATTTTCAAACCCATTAAAATTCAACCAGTAAAAAATCTTGTAACCAAAACAAAAACCAAAATACCCCACCACACCTCAAAACCCAAAAACTATAGTCTGTATCGATATTGACTGTATAGGCCAAAGAATTCAAGTGCAGAGGTAAAAATTCCAATTTCAGATATTTAATTTATGTAATATAAAGATTAACTCATCATTTACAACCAGAAAATACTATCTGCTTTCACCCACACTAATATCAACTTCTAGTGATGTAGAGTTGTTTATAACTACTTGTTTGGTGCCAAGTTAAATCACCCTATGACAGTATACCAGGTTCAAATATAGGGGAAGATACAAGCAAACCCTTGGGGAGTCAGACATTCCTGAAGAAAACGCATTGGTTGACCTTTGATAAAGTGTTGGAGCTTGCACTCTCAGTTTCTTCTTCCAACAAGTTTTTGTTTGAATTTCATGGCCACTAAAACCCAGATCAAGTTCAATCTTCACTAACTTGAACTAAACTTTTTATAGATATTATATACCTCCATATTTAACAACCAATTTGTAGAGGAAGGGACCATCTCATTCTCTTAATATGAGTATGGAGAAAACCTGTAATAGGACTTCAAATACCTAACTGGATACAGCTGGACACATTTAAAAAATTTCTTCATCCCTCCTAACTCAGTCTGTAAAGAATCTGCCTGCAATATAGGAGACTCGGGTTCGATTCCTGGGTGGGGAAGATCCCCTGGAGAAGGAAATGGCAACCAACTCCAGTATTCTTGCCTGGGAAATCCCATGGACAGAGAAGCCTGGCGGGCTACAGACCACGGGGCCGCAAGAGTCGGACACAACTTAGCAACTATAACCACCACCACGATTAGTTTTGGGCTTACCAGGTGGCTCAGCGGTAAAGAATCTGCCTGCAATGCAGGAGCTGCAGGCTGGATCCCTGGGTAGGGAACATCCCCTGGAGTAGGGCGTGGCAACCCACTCCAGTATTCTTGCCTGGAGAATCCCATGGACAGAGAAACCTGGTGGATTATAGTCCATAGGGTGACAAACAGTCTAACACGACTGAAGCGACTTAGCACATTAGGTTTTATGTAACAGTATCAGTACAAGACAACAAAAACATCTTGAACTGTTCACCAAACATCTATGACACGTCTCAGAAACATTACCTCAATTCATAAAAACACATATTTACTGAACTGACTTCAAGTTAACATTTTTATTGCTGGGATTGAAATTTCCTCTAATCTTAACTGTTAAACAGTGATGAGGTTCAAATCTAGACAAAATCATTTTCTTTAAAACGGGGATTGTAATCCGTCTACAAATGTAAAGTTTTGCCTAATTTTTCTTGCAAAAGTTGTAACTTTTGTCTTCCTTTTTCGAGGAAGCAAAGTTCTCAAGAAATAGCTGCTGAGTTTGCAGGATCTCTGGAGTACTTCTAACTTCATGCCTTATTGCTGCTACACAGCTAACTGTATAGACAACAGCTGTGTCCTTTCTCCAAAGACCCACGTACTTATTTTCTGGAGATTACCAAATTCACACCCAGAAATCCTCCATCCGTACAGCTCTGGAGGTAGATGCTGAAGACGCCAGCCTGGATTCTGCTCCCAGACGCAGAAACCTAAGTACTTTCCAACCATCCGCTTTGCCGAGTGGGTTCTCCCAGATCAAAAGTGCTTGGCAACAAAGATACTGGGGCACTTAAAATATGTATTTAATAACCTACCTATGTTTACATTTTTTTTCTTTATGAAGGAATAAAAAGAAAAAAAAAAAAACCCCACCTGGGTGACTCCCTCCCTCCGAAGACACAGACCTACCAGCGCATCCGCCGCCACACAGGTGGCTCAGCCCGCTGTCATCCAAGTTCCCACAGCCCCGCCCGTCGCTCGACAAACAGCCAATAATGTGAGAAAACGCCGGAAAGCGCGATGACGTAAGCGCTGACGCACGCGTGATGACGCAGGCGGCGTCACCGTCTCCAAGGAGCGGTCTGGGGCACCGGTTTCAAAGTCGCAGGGCGGGCCGAGTGGACTTCCGCTGCTGGACCCGGGCTTCTCGGTCTTCCTGGCGTCGCTCCCCGCCCCTCCAAGGATGCCGCCACCCGGCTGCCCGCCAGCTCTCTCAGCGCTCTCCTGAGTGGCCCGACACGACCCCAGTGACCCGCGGGACGTCCAATATATCCAGCCGCGTCCCTGGTCCTGGCTGGGATTCGGGTGAACGTGAAACAATTCACTTGGCGGGTCCGCAGCAAACCTGAAATTTGGTGTCTCGCTTGAGCGAGGGACTGGGCTGGGACGCGGGAGAAGGAGGCGCGGCGGGGCTGTTGACGCCGCGTGAGTAGGATGCAGATCACGCCGCTCGAGTGCTAGACAGCCTCCGGAGCTTTGCCTTAGTTTTGCTTTCCCGCACTGCGAGCTTTGTGTCTTTTTAAGAAAAGTGAAAGCTGGTGAAAGCTCCAAACAAATTGCATCCAAATGGCCACAGAAATCGACTTTCTGCGAAACCAGAGTAAGCTCCACATTCCTTTATTGAGAATTCTCATATGTAGTGTTTAATGTCGTCATCGTTGACTAATACTATCTGAATGCCTGTTGGGTACGTGGTAATTTGTAAAAACTTAAAAGAAGTTAAGCTGCAGAAAAAGCTTGATGGTATATATGAGGATACGCATACATTAAGCAGGAGCGTTTAGAAAATACTTAAGCCTACGAGGGACTCTGCTAGATGCATGTTTGTTATGCTCCTCACATGCTCTGGAGGAATTAGAGGGCTAATTGCCAGGAAGAGTTTCTAAGTCTGCAGTTAGAACCTGGAGGCACAGCTCTGGCCATTTGTTCAAAAGATATTTATTGAGCTCCTCCTGTTTCTATTATGTGCCAGGCACTAGACAGGCATAGCTGCTCTTGAAGATACGGAGGACTGTTCTACCCTCCAATAATTTAATTTGAGGAGGGAAGTATATGATTTCTATAAATACACTGAAGTAGCAGCAACCGTCAACTCTTTTGCCTCAGGTTTCTCACAGACGCAGGGTTGGTTGAATGATTAAGCGGCCGTTAAAATATGTGCAGGATTTAGAATAGTATCTGACGTAGTGCTAACAAATATTAACTATTACAGGGTTATAATTTACTGTGGTTAAGGAAGGTACTATTTGGGCTGAGACTTGAAGTAAAATATAAATTTACTAGATAAAGAACTGTGTGGTTGAGAACAATATTTACAACATTGGAGGGATTAGGAATATGCTTTGTTAAAAACTTTGAAGACGGTTAGTTTGGATGAAATTTGATGTGTACAGGGAAATGGCAAGTAGAGCTGAAAGGGAAGAATTTGGCCAGATGGCAAAGGGCCTTTTCTGTTGTGTTTTCAGGAGTTAGAATCATTGCACAAGTTATAGGAATCACTGAAAGGAATCCAGTTGAGAGTAACTCAATCAGTTTGTGATTTATTTGAAAAACCCAGCTGGCTGTTATGAGGAACATGCATTACAGCAAGTGCAGTCAGGTGATTGTTGTTATTATCCAGGTAAGAAGTGAACTGAGGTAGGTATAGTGAGATTGGAGATGAAATGATTTGGAAGAAAGGTATAGGGCAACTAAGGTTTTTGGCTTGCTTGAGCAGCAGGGAAAATGGTGGGGAGGGGTGGGGGGTGGCGGGGGGATGGTACATTCCATTTTGGAAACACCATAGGCCAGTGGTTGAGAACTCTGCCTCTGGATTCAGTCTGTCTAAACTCTGTGTTAGCTCTGTCTCTTTTGTATGTCTTTGACTTTGGGCAAGTTACTGAACTTTGTGCCTCAGTTTTCTTGCTTGTAAAATGGGTATAATAGCACATGGTGTAGTTCTGAAGGTTAAATGAGATGATGCAAGTAAAGCACTTAGCATGGTGTCTAGCACATTTTAGGTGCACACTTTATATTATCTAAAATCATTAATGACATGTATGACACTATAACATTACCATTGTTTGTTAGGTTTGATGTGGGAATATCCTTCATCCCATAAAGAGGGCTAGCTCACCATCATCTGGGTTGTGTGGGACAAGGATTGGTGTTGAAAAGTTTGGTTGTGGTGGTAGAGTTCCTGAGACACTCATAAACTATGTTTTAGAGGAATACACCAGCCAGAATTCTTAAATAAAACTGAAGTCCAAATACCAGAGAGAACGATAGAAGCCATGGTAAATTATTTCTTGAAAAATGAATGGTAGTTCACCAGAAGAGAAGTGCGTGGAAGAAGGGAATTTTCAGAGGGACCAAAAGAAGCAAAGGCTCGGAGGCTTAAAATAACTACTTATTCAGGAAATTGGAGCATGGAATAGTAGGGTTTGCAGGAAGAGATGAAAATGAGTGTTGGATGTCTATGAATCTCCCCTTTTTTCCTTTAGACCTCATATGCCAGTTTTAATTGGTGGGTGACCGGATTAGTTGATTAGCTAAACACCACATCAGGTAAATACAGAAAGCTTACCCTTCTCCCATCTACCTCTGACCTTCTTTTCATTGACTTCTATTGATTTTGAGCCTCCTTTAATTTGTTATAGCATATTTGCAGTACATCATTCGTCCACCTCCATCTAAGAAGGCAGGTCTGATAGTCCTGAGGGACGTGTGTATCAAGCTAAGGAGTGAAGAGTTTATTCACCAGTGGAGATGGAGTCTTTTTTTTTTTTTTTCATTCTCTTAGGAGTGTCTTTCATAGAGCAGAAGTTTTTAATTTTTATGAAGTTCATTTCATCAATTTTTTCTTTTATGGATGTGTCATATATAAAAATTTGGGCTTCCCAGGTGGCACAATGGTAAAGAATCCACCTGCCAAAGCAGCAGATGCAAGAGACATGGGTTCAATCTCTGGAGTAGAGAAGATCATCTGGGGTAGGAAATGGCAACCCACTCCAGTATTCTTGCCTGGAAAATTCCCTGGACAGAGGAGCCTGGTGGACTAGTCCATGGAGTTGCACAAAGTTGGTCACAATTGAGTGACTGAGTGTACACACATATCTAAAGATCTTTGCCTTACTCAAGGCTGCAAAGATTCCCTTCTATGTAGTCTTCTAGAATTTTTAAATTTCATAGATTTTAAAATCTATGAAGCATTTTGAGTTAAATTTTGTACAAGGTATGAGACAAGGGTCAAGTTTCACTTTTTTTACATATGGATGCACAGTTGAAAAGACGATCCTTTCTCCATTAAATTACCTTTGCATCTTTGTTAGAAAGTCAGTTGAACATATTTGTGTAGATCCACTTCTGTTCCATTGATCTATCTGGAAGTCAATGTCCTGTCTTGATTATTACAGTTTTATAATAAATCAGTGTGGCCTTTCAGATTTGTTCTTTTCACAGTTGTTTTGACTGTCATAGGTCCTTTGCACTTCCTATACGTTTTAGGATCAGCTTGTCCTGCAAAAAAAAAAAAAGGATGCTGGGAGTTTGATAGGCATTGTATGATTCTCTCGATTAATGTGTGTAGAATTCACTTAATGATACTGAGTCCCCTGACTAATGAAAAAAAATCTCTCAACTGATATCTCTTCTTTAATTTTTCTCAGCAATATTTTATAGTTTTTAGTATATAGGTTTTGCACATATTTGGTCAGATTTATCTCTATATATTGCTGGTTTTGATACTATTGTAAACTGTTATTCATTTACTTTCCATTTCTGATTTATCGTTTCTAGTGTATGGAAATACTTTGTGTGCACTTTACCCTTTCAGCTTTCTAAACTCACTTATTAGTTCCAGTAGGTTTAATGTAGAGTCTTTCAGATTTTCTACATTGACAGTCTTTTCATCTGTAAATAGACTGTTTTACTTCTTCCTTTCCACTTTGGACTGCCTTTCATTTTCTTGCCTTATTGTACTTACTGGAACCCCCAGTACAGTGTTGAGCCAAAGTGGATGGAGTAGACATCCTTGTGTTGTTCTTGATTTTAAGGAGAAAATATCTGTTTTTCAAAATTAAATATGATACTAGCTGTAGTTTTTCCATAGATGACCTTGCTAGGTTGAGGATACTAATTTCTATTCCTAGTTTTCTGAGAGTTTTTTTAAAATCAGAATGAATATTGGATTATTTTTTCCAAATGCTTTTTCTACATTTTTTTGAGATCAGGTTTTCTTTTTCATTTTTAGTTTTTTAATAGCGAGATTTATATAGATTACTTTTCAAATGTTAAACTTGCCATTTTCGAATAAACTCCTCTTGGTCATAATGTATTATCTTTTTAACATACCATTTAATTTTGATTATCTTAAATGTCTGTTTAAAACTTTAATGTCTGTGTTCATAAACCCTTTGTAAAAAATTTTTTTCCCTAATGTCTTTGTCTCGTTTGGTGTCAAGATATGCTGGCCTCAGAATTACTTAGAAAGTATTTTGTCCTCTTCAGGTTTCTGGAAGATGTTTGTGTAGAATTGATATTTCCTCCTTAAATGTTTGGTAGAATTTACTAGTGAAGACAGTTCAACCTAGAGCTTTCTTTGTGGAAGATTTAAACTGTAAATTCAGTTCCTTTAATAGATAAGAAGTCAGTCAGTACTTTGTTTACACAAGACATACCCTTCGCAGATTTCTGTACGTCTGGAGTTCTCTCTGCGGCTTTCTCTCCTGTTCTTTGTCCTGCCAATTCTAGTTTACTTGGTTTCCACTGAGGCTCAGCTGCATCTCCTTAAATCAGAGAATCTGCTGCTCTTTGCCTGCAGTTTTCCTCCCTGTTTGCTGGCATGAAAGGTCGCTCCGGCCACTAGGCTGGGCAGGCATAGTGCTCAGTGCATTTGTTTCATGTTTGTCATTATCTTTACCTGATGCCTTGCACCTGGCAAACCACTGTTTTCTCTCTGCTGTGTCAGGTGAAGAAATGGACCACGTTACTTTATCTTGAGCATGAGCAGAAGTCCTATTCAATTTGCCCTACTTTTTCATCTTAAACACAAATACCTTACTCCCACTGTAACTGTTCTTTGACCTCATCAAGACCTGTATTCTTTGAACCCTTCATTTTCTTTCATTTCCTTAACTTGTTTGCAGCTCCCCCCCTCCCCCCATACAGGCTATAGCAGTTTCCCCATTGATTCATCCGCTTTTTTGTTTTAATCTTAATGTGACCATGCCCCTGCTTTTCTGGAGCACATACTCAATAACACCTTTTCCATAGCTTGCTTTTACAGTTCTCATACCCATCTGTTCAGTAGCCATAGATAAAAACCTCTTGGATAAGTGCCACCACAGTTTCTAGTCTAACTCATAACTACTAAATAATTGGGCTGGGATTTGAACCCAGGCAGTCTAGTTTGAACCCAGTGTTTTATGTTCTTTTCTATCTGGCAAAGACACTTGCTTGAAAGAAAAATTATAGGCCTGTTTCCCTTATGCACACAGAAACTAAAATCCTAAATAAAATATTAATAAATTTAATCCATCAATGATCTATGTGGAAGAGCTGAGAATAGCCAAAAGAGTTCTAAAGAACATCAAGGTGGGAAATTTTATTTGATCAACTATT